CTTCTCATTCAATCGTGATTGGAGGCAACAAGTTCACACTGGCCAGGCTGGGCACATTTGAGAAACTATACAACATCAAGACAGACAGAGGATGCTCATTTCAATCGGTCATACGGCATGTCATGTGCTAGTTTATCCTCAAGCATGGATTGTTCACAAGGCCAGGATGTTAGCCAAGACTTATTACGATAGTCTCGTCTCGTACCAGATGCAACCTGCTCTAGGGTTTCAGAGGCTGAGGAAGGACAGTATCTATTTGTTTGCATAGATGGGAGAAGCTTGCCTCATGCTGCATATCAGGCATTCAGATGCGAATGGAGCACTAGAGGCGCTTGTCATTGTCATTCATGCAGAATTTTATTGGCACCGCCAAAACCAGCGATGACCAATGTAGTAAAGCTTGGTCGTTAAACCTGCAAAAGCAATATGCCCCACCACACACCAACTTGCATCCGATCCAATGCGCCTCACAGCCCTTCGGAACTGAGACCCGGGTACTGGAGGTTTGTAAGAAGAGATATAAGAGATTGAAATGTACTTGTAAAGTTGCCAAGAGGTTTTCAATTGGCACCATTAAGCATGTCACACTGAAGATCCCATTTTAGGATCTCAAACAAAAAGAAACCTGCGCTCAAGTGCAGAAACAGAATGAGACAAAGACATCCATGGGAAGTTTACATTACAGTAGTATTATTCCAGGAGGTAAATCTCAACAGGGGCTGGACGCCTCGCGCGCTACAGTGGCCGAAGCGTACACAAAAAGCGGCTGGCACAGGTCGTTTGGCTCAAGTAAAAAAGTAGCCAGTTGACTCAAGGTATATTCCGATGTTGCAACTCCTGTCTATAACTAGTATTGTCCATCAAAAGCTGCACATGGCCAGGATCAAAGTTCTTCATCACAAAATCATGCTGCAGGAGACCCTTGTCACAGAAGTCGTTGAACATAGAAACTGTTGTGATCGTGATCCCTATCTAGCGGCTAGGGACCATGTTTTTGTGGGCTTTAAACCGTGAGTGTAACGTCATGTTAACAAAATGGGGTGATGCAGGGTGGTGGTGGGGTTGAAGACGTTTTTGGAGCACCAATTAGCCTTCCTGGACACGTACGTGGTCTTTTGTGGTCGCGTTGTGTTTTTTCGGTACGAGGTATCAGGGGATGTTTTTGTTGAACATCGAGTCGGGAGAGTTGTTGATTCTCCGGGAATTTGTGTGTACTGTACATATTTAAATTTGCAACCAAAACTGACAATGCAAACGGTGTTTCCCTACTAGAAAGATGACGTGACACAAGTGCTGAATTACCGGAATGATGGTTGCAGACGGTGTTGTGTGTGTGTGTTTCTTTTTTAAAGGCTTCACTTGGTTATATTAAATTACCATCCGTGACATATGCCTTCACTGAAGTTCAAAAGGGGCGCTGCAGTCTGCCAGTGTTTACGATGAGGCCATGTACCCGGCTTGAAAAACAAGACCAAGGGGGTTGGAAAAGATAAGTTTCCCAATGGATAAATGCGAGTGCTTCTTCAAGCATGTTCCCCCCTGCCGTCAGGCGGGGGAGCTTCCTTGAAGAAGCGTGAGCTATCCTGCGTCCTAGCATGTCCTAGCTAGGAGCTTCCTATTGCTAGTAGTTTGCTTCCTGAATTATATAAGTAGGTGCCTAGTTAACTAAGGAGGCAGGGCCGAACGGGCAAAAAACATAAACAAATGGTTCTATGGTTCTGAAAGTCTGACAGGCTGCGATTTAGGGCACTGTGTTTTTGCGGTTTGTCGCTAGTAGCTTTTTGTTCCTAGTAGTAAGGCCAGGAGCTACTAGTAGCGTCCTTGCTCCTAGTAGCGATGCCCTTTGTTACTAGTAGCTTTTTGTATAATATCATATTTGCTTCTCGAACTGCTGCAGTTGCACAGCTGATGTTTGCAACATAGCAACATGATGCAAAACACAAGCTACACACAGGTTAAATGTGTAAAGGAGCTTTACTTTGGACCAAAATCCTAACATGCAATACTTTGACATGCAACTGTGCAGAAGATTGGAACCCTTTTCTGCAAGACGCTTTTTGGACTGGAGATTGAAGAGAAAACCGGAGAAGGTTCTCAAGTCTTAAATTATCTTAAATGTTTCAAAGAGGCCGGCATAAAATGTGCTCACATGATGCAAGCACCTGGAAACGTCAGGTTCGCTAAAAACGCAACCCTTGTTAAACAGTTCAGTTGTTTTTACAGTGACATTTGATGCTTTTTGGCTGTTATGATTGACTCATGTTTGAATTGTATTATATATATATATAGCGACTAGTGTAGTGATTAAGATCAGATGAGTTGTGCGCTGCAGAGTTGTGTTTGCTTGAGGTCCTGTGCCTTCTTGGGCCCTGGAAATTGGAAGTTTTTGCCCCCCATGGGATCTAAGATCTAAGATTCTCCCCGACTCTCCTGTGCATCCTTAGATCTTAGGTCCCCCCAAAAGTATATAACGTCGAGGTATGTGGACTTGTTGAGCAAAAGCTCCTAAGTACCTGAAGTATTGACACTCTCGTGAAACCTCAAGCGAGCTTTTGTCCAGTGGCATGGGGAGAAGAGAAGTGAAATGTCCTTTGCGGTGGCGGGAGACCTGACCTTAACACCCAGGAGGCCACCTTGACCTTGAAGATTACCAAACCTACATTGGAAACCAACCGATTATATAGACATGCAGGCCCTGTGGAATCGCATCATGACGAGTGAGCTCTACATCCACCCCTCCTCATCATCCATGGCATCCACAAAAATACTTGACACCTCGAATTGTCAAAGGAGCTTGAAATTTGAAAGCTCAATGTGAACTGTTTCGGTGCTTGGGATCATACAAGAGTGTGCCAGGGGGGGAAATGGAAAAGAAGCACACAGACAAGTTTTTGATCAGAATTAGCCGCCAGCACCTCAGCTTCAAATGTTTAAGGGTTACACAATCCTGGCATGAAGCACAGCGCAAAAATCTGTGCAGCTCAATATGTGAGTGCAAACACAGGAGAACGCATGAGCACGTCGAACATGGTCGGGGAAAGTGATGGGGGCATCACCTGCAATTTGGGACAGGAAAGACATGCTTTCAACTGCTGCTTATCACTTGTTTATGCTCTCGGGTCTCCACTAACCACCCGTCCTTGTCCTTTCAATGTTTGGTGCATTCATGACAATGCCTAAACATAGGCAAACAGCAAGGAGCATTTGCAAACATGAACAGGTTTGCTTTTTATTTTTGGGGTAACCGTTAACATAGATAGATAGATAGATATAGATATATAGATATAGATAGTATATTGATATATAGTATATACAGTATATATATTTTGATTTGTCAAATATACATATACATATGGTCAGCGCCCACACGAGTGGGCCCGGACTTTACGTCAGACAAGACTTGCAGGGTGAGTGACCTGGTGAAGAGCAAACACTTGCTGTTGTTGAGAAACCTATGCTGCATCATGCTGCCATTTTGGACAAGTAGTGGACACGGGACAAAACCCAGTATACTCAGGTTCCGTTACGACATAATTAATCACATCCAATGTGTAATATTAGTAGGCGCCCTGCCATGTACCCTCCAACATGGCCTACATGAACCTAAAAACTGTTATCAAGTCAACTCAACTGGATCATCGACCCACTGCCATGAACATTGATCATCACAGGTGAGAGATCGACACAAAAGTAGTGCCGCTTGTTGTCCCAACAACAGGTCCGCACTACATCGCCACTGGTGGCAATGATGGTTATGCATGCGTCACTCTGGCAATGTTCAGTGAACTTTAACTTGAGTCATGGCTGTCAGCCGAGGGCCTGAGGGGACGGTGGAGCCTTTTGGAAAAGATGCCCCAATTTGTGATAGCGATAGCGCGGTAGCCCTCGTAACAAAACATAAACTCGGCATATCAGATCTTTTGAATCTTTTTTTTTGGGGGGGGTGGTCAATTGTGCAGATATGTCAAACATTGATATTGCTGCATTGTTTCTCATGCCAGGTTCTGAATGAAAAGGATGGCTCAGTGGTTTACAGGCAGGATTGAAGCAATGCACATCAACTGTGTTGGCAGGCTTGGCATCAGCAAACACGCATGCATCGACACAGCGAAATGACACAGGTAGACATGTGCCACAATACTGGGATGTGTCTAATAACCTTGAGTTAAAAGTACACCAACAAAAACTGTCAACTCGCCCATGACTCATCAATGCGAGTTGACGGTGAAATAATTGGTTGCTGTCATTGAAGCCCGGAGGTTGTCGCATCCCAGTGCTGTCTTTGGGGTGAGTTGGCACACTATGCAGGTTGGTTCTTTGGGAATGGCCGGGGAGGACCAGCGACATGTGAAACTATTTGTACAGCAATATGATGTCCAGTGGTGTATGCTATGATGGGCGTGCACCACATTGTTTGTCCTTTCATCCCATCAGATTCAACAGAGCATCGAACACATGTGCCTTGGAAGGACATGCTATTGGGGTTGCGCACGTTTGATTTTGTCAAAGCATATGCCAGTCCATCTAATGAGACACCTTGGGAACCATGCAAAAATCCAAAGACACTGACACACTTGTCAACCCCACGGGAGAGCGGAGAAAGGACACTGTGAGCTACGTTGCATTGTGGAGGCAATCGCTACTAGGTTGGCTTCGCTTAAACACCACTATAGTAACAAGAAGCTACTAGGAACAAGTGCATCGCTACTAGTAACAGGTGCCTTACTAGTAGTAACAAAAAGCTATTAGTAACATAGTCAATGGATTCATCCATTCGCTTCATGGAGTTCGGCACATGCGAAACCAACGCTTTCGGTGGCCCTTCAGTCTTCCTTTCTGCAGCCATGGGCTTCTGAGAACACTTGCGAAGGACGATCATTTCATGTTCTTTACACTTTACATTGTTGGACAAGCTTTGCTTTGACTGACACAAAAAGATACAAAAACAGATGGCACAGCAATGCCAAGAACAGAGTCATTGCTCGAAAATCAACCAATGGGCGGCAATCCGTGAATTACAAAAACCAACCGGGCGATCCGTGACTCGCAAAATGACTCATGCGAGGGTGCAAATGGGGCGGTGAAACGGAAGTGGGAGAGTTGACCTGCAGACTTAAAATGTTTTTCTTTTTTGGTTCTTTCTTGCTTTGTTTTGTTGTGCTATGTCGGTTTGTTTTTGCATTCTTTTGTAAGGCATGTTTTTCATATTTGGGATCGGTTCCAACATAAATCACCAATCTTGAGAGGTATATAATCCTGAGTAAGTCAGCCTAAGGCCTAAGCAGCTTCGTTCAAAGGGCCGGTAAAGTCATCACCAGTCTTGCTTAGACTCGTCAGAACTTGAGTGGTGGCTTTTTGTGCAAAGAATGGGGTTTGCATTATGGGCAAGGGCTTGTTCTTGAACTTTCACAGGCGAGTGTGATTCTTGTAGAATGTTCGAATCCCTGTCAGTTGCTGGCGCTTCTTGATCAAGAAGAACAGCAACTCCTGAAAATCGCAGATGACTCATGCATCCTTGCTTCATTTGGCTTTTGATGCTAGTTTGCCTCTCAAAGACAGAACACCTTGTGAATTGAGGTATGGCTATCAAGGAAAATATCCAAGAGGCGGTGATGCGTATGCATCAGATGATATGGGATATGAAGATGCGGAGACTCTTGTTTGCACTGTTGAGCAGCGCATGGCTGGTAGTTATAGTCTTCACGCATTGTTGAAAGTGTTATATAGTTGTTTTGATAATTTGGCTATTGAGTAGCTGCTGAGCTGCTGAGCTGTGATTGTCGGTGCGGTCAATTGCATCCAACAAGCAGATGGGCTCAACGGTGGTGTTCTGTTTGTTCCTCATTCCTGTTTATTGGCTGCTGTCGGATTTGCCTAGTTTGGAAGAATAGACTATTAGGTTGCGACGGAATTCTGAGCTGAGTCAAGATCAACGTGCTGGGCTGGGTATGAGTGGATTATCATGAACCCCACACCATGGTCCTCAAAATTAAGAAAGCACTGGGGCGTTTGATACCCTGCCTGCCAGCGTCCAGCGCTTTGGATTTGGCAGATTTTTAGATTTGTATGGTTGGAGTTGGAGAGGGAAGACGAACGTTAGATGATTTGAAGTTTGGGCATGCCTTGCTTGGCTGATTTCTTCAGATACAAGTTGCGGTTGCGGTTGTAGCTGAAGAATGTGATGATCTACGAGGGTGTTTACCTTTGTCGCCCCATTGTGAACAATGTCCGGCTTCCACAGAGCGTTTTGCTAAGGCAGCACCCCCAACCATGCCATGTCGATAGATGAAGTTGGCAGCACCTCACAGCCGAACGAGGTCGGGGGCCTCCTGTTTTGAGTCACTGATGGTTTTTGAAACATGTTTTTCATGTTTGCTTCAGGTGTTCGATTTTTTATTTTGGCATGCTTGACCCGTTTCAGTTTTTTCTCCATGTAACGTAATCTTTCAGTTTCATTTCGGTTCTTTGTTGGGGAGCTGTGTATATACTGTAAATGCTTTTGTGTTGGTGTCTTTGTGGGTATGCTAGGTAGCATGTTGGGGTTTTCGCTGCGACGTGCTGTTGTGTGCAAAATCTACTCGTGCTGGATTGCATGGTGTCAGTCTCAGTGTCAGTGATTGACCAGGTGAATGCTTGCGCGGAAGCTCGACAGAGGTCTTTTGGATGCAGTACTGGTAGCACTGGAGAGATCTGGAGAGTATGTGGCCAAGAGGATTGAAACGAGTTGAGAGATTGAAGTGGAATACAGTCTAAAGTTGTGTAGTAGATCCCGGGCACGAACACATGTGTTGAGTTTGTGTTTCCTACAAGGTTTTCGCCAACGTCTCCGATGTCGCCAATGTCTTCGGGTGATAACTCCATTGAGTCAGATGCCTCAGGTGATTCAGGCAACAACGCGAATGGCCTCGATGTGTTTTCCGCGACAAACCTAACATAATATGGCCTCCGACCAAAGAGCGATGGCCTCCAACCTAAGAGCGATGGCCTCCAAGCTGAGAGCGATGGCCTCCAAGCTGAGAGCGATGGCCTCCAAGCTAAGAAGAATGGCCTCCGACCTAACGTAATGAATTCAATTTTTGCTATTCCATCAAGTTTCGCAAGGACAGTCAATTTTTTTGCGGCACTGCTCCATTCGTGCCGCACAGCAAAGCTGGGAGCTTTGGAAAACGCGTTTAAGATTCACGTTTTGTTCTTTGGATGTCACACTACAAGAATAAGATGTGACAAGTGGAGGGAATGACTTTGTTTGACTCCAGTTTGGTCGCTTAGGGTTGCAATGACAATATTCTAGCAATGTTCACGCTAAAGACGTTAACGCGTGAACGCAAGAAAAGTTGTGCATCATTGTTCTGGTTTTGACGCTGGAACTTGTTTTGATTCAGATTCAAGGACTTAATCGAGTACCAACTGTTTACTTGCATTCAACCTGTCTACAAGTCACAGGGTAGCGATGAGGCACATGCCATTCGGCCGCCATTGGGATGTTTCTCAAAGCAGTTATCGCTTGAATTTATTTGTAGCCGCGATGTCAATGTGGCGATGTGAGAATTGTGAACTCTGCGCCAGGCTTAGCTCGGCAGACCTCCTTTCAGCGTCACACAACTCCAGCCCCACCCGCAGAAGCTCTGCCCCGAGCTCATGGTGATGATGGGGAATCTCGGCAAATCGTGAATGATGAATTGATATGGCAATGTCTGAATGATCGCCAATGCCAATGTTTTTCGTTGTTTTTCTACAGATCAACATTGTGCAACTAACTTGTCAAGAAGCTCAAGAGCGAAGTCATTCTTTTACAGGGTATTTTCTTACATGACCATTGCGTGACGTGCCGACATTCTGCCCTTGGTGTCCTTGGACCCTAGGTGACTTTTCAATTGACTTTACTTTGGGTCACCCTAGCTGGCCATCTCTTGCCATTTTGACAGGAGCCAATGCGGTTGAGTTCACTTGGCCTGGACTCCCTTTCTGTGGTGAATGGCGATTTTGACAGCGAGGTGGCTGAAGTCCTGGCGACCCACCAGACACAAAGCACGCTGCTTGTCGTTGATCTAAACTAGAGCTTTCAGGAAACGAAAAAGAAGACAAACATATGAAAAGACAAGGACATGAGAAGAAAAAGACGGTGCTTGTGTCTCTGTAATAAGATCCCTTTAGGCATTATTAAAGGGACCCAGACAGACACCTTCATTAAAGGGGCCCGAACACCTTCATTTGTACCTTGTGTGTTTTCTTTCAGCAAGTAAGTAGTTTGACCACAAGTTGACCAGATATCAACCCAGGAAAATGGGCAAGAAGGTGGACAAGTTTCTGGTTCGCACCGAGAACAATCCAAACCAGAAGGACCTTTGGAAGATGCGGAAATTCAGCTGCAAATGGCACAGGGACAGATCTGATCTCGAGCCACTTGAGTAGAGTGGTCCAGGTCAGAACAGAATGTGGCCATAGCATACCCAATGGTCAATAGAAGGACATTTCTGACATCCAGAACCTTTCTTGATGTTGAAAGTTTCCATGGACAGCTTTCAGTGTTATCCATGAGCGTTTTGTATGGTTTGCGGATGCAAAAGTCATAGAGTGGAATTGCTTGTTTGCTGTATGTGTATATATATATATACATAGACTCTGGAGATCCTGCTACGCGGAGCAGTTACAATCCAAGTTTGTTTGAGCACCGCTTTGCCTCGGGGCCTCGGAGTAATAAGATTATGTTTCATTTGTTCGATCAAAAATGAACCTAATAGCAGCAGCGATGGCCTCCAACCTAATAGCTGTAAGCAACACGGAAGTAATCTGAGCTTATGGGATTGTAGACCTCATCCAATTGATGACAATTGTAGACCATGATCCTTTCAGGATGTTGTCCTGAGAGATTCATTTCGGCCACCCAGGGTTCAGACGGGCATGGACTATGTGGCTGGAGGCCTGGTGCTCCTCAACTCCATTGTGATGATGCTGGATGCTCGACTGACTGACTCATCACCCTGCTAATGGAATCCATCAAATAAGTAATGACTATTGTGGGATTGTGCTCTGTGCGCTTCTGCAAAAGTGGTCTTAAAGCCTTATATGTATTACTATCGGTGATTGATTCACCTTGCTATCGTGTTGCATCACCTTATCCTCTTAGGAGTTGGAGTTTGAAGGGCGTGCCGCTGGAGTCTTTGTTGGCCATCAAAGTAACTTTGACGTCGTCTACACAGAGGACAGAAGGGAGATTGGTTTGATAGATGAACTGATAGTCCTCCAAGTCATGCTGCCAGGTGCAGTACATCGTGGTTGTAGACTTGCAGAGTGCAAGTATTTTCAGTCAGACAGTATGGTGGGCAGAGACTGGGATACAGTTGGAAGTCGGAAGCAATTGTCAATCGTAGCCACGAGACCTAAACTGACAAAGAAGTGCGATGTGTATGAATGATGTGGGTTTATGACGTTTGTCACTTCTTCAGCCCTTGGCATCAGCCAAACCCTGTCAGGAGTTATTTCTCGCGCTGGATCGCATTTTTGCACCTTGGCATAGAACTCGTGTTTTGTTCTTGGATGTGTTTGGGGCCTGAAATTCCAGCGGTAAACATGTTTTGCAGTTTTAGCGCTCTTCCAGCAAAGAAGTCTAAATTGATCCAAATTGTTTGCTCTCTTGGCCTGGAGCGCATTCTGCAGTTTGGAGCGGTTAGGTTTTGCCGCTACTAGAGATTAATATCCAAGACTTCTAGTTGTCTCAACTCCTCCGTACGTAAGCAAGCCAGCTTCTATTCAGCTATTGTAGTGAGGTTCAATTCTCTCCAGCTTGTTGAGGCCAGAGCAAGTAGGTTTGAGGCCATTGCTTCTAGGCTAAGGAACTTGATAGGTTTGATAGATCGTCTGTAAAGGTCATCTGGAAGACCTTTGGAAAAGAACTAGAATGCGCGAGAGACAGAGAGTGGGACCCTAAATGTTTTCTAGCCTTGGCAACTCAGAGTGCTGCAAGACCTCTCTCCTAAACCCAAACAATGCAATTTTTGTATTATTACTGTATATGTATATTGCAACCTCCCTATATATCTTTGCATTTCACAGCGAGCATGTTGGATGCTGTTGAACTTGAGAACGGTTTGTTTTCTCCAACACTGTGTCAGTGTATTTCAGAACCGACGCATAATTCTACAGGACTGGTGCCCCATGCATGCTGAGGGCTTGTGAATTCGCACCAGTTCTGTTGACCATTCTTGTGTCGACTGCATCGAGTGGCCAGACACATGCGCAATGCAAATAGCACACTATCAGAATGTCCCATATGCTTACAGTATATGCTTGATAGTTTTTGTTGTGGGCTTGCCCTTCTGCAGTTGTCCAGGTTTGCATACGGGTAAAAGGCAATTTTTACGTTATATAACTAGAGGCAGCACTTCAAAGCCATACAAGGAGCTTTCTTATTTGAAAATTCGATGCCGCTGCTTGATGCTGCTAGCCCATGATTGTGTGTTATTTACCCCATTTACACCCTTGTGGTAACACTGCTCAAAGCTCTTGTAGAAGCATGTCAGTGAAGAACGAAACGACTTTACATTACTTTAGAGGCAGGTAGATATTGCAGGAGCAGCGTGAGAAGGCGTGTGAAAAGCACTCCAGATTCCATTCTGAGGTAATCCTCTTCCTGCTCGAATGGTGTGTGCGGTTGCCACTTGGTGGTCAAGAATTTTGGAGTTAGCGATCTGGAGATCTTCCCTGAAATTCGATTCAGGATTCGGCTTTCAGGCTTCGGCCTTCGCAAATTCAAGTTTGGGAATCCAATTTCCAAATTGTGTTCCAAACACCCTCCCTTCGTTGTCCCTGCCTGTCTTGGGATTTAGCTTTCGGTCTTCTGCATTCGGGGCAGGGTCCCCCCCTTGTTCTTTTCCGTCCTAATTAATTGGTTTTCTTCTTGGTGACTGTGGTCTTTTGCGGACCTTTTTATAGCTTGTCAGCTTGACGTGTTCGGATATTGACAATGTTTGCAGCCTGAAGCCTCATGCTACATCTTCTTGATTCGGGATTCGGGACTTCTGAATGATTCTGAATCCAATTTTGAGATTCGGCTTCCGCTTTGCACACTTGGGGCGGAGTGGTTTAGGGCTTGGGTTGGGTTGGGCTTTTTAGTTTGGCTTTGACGGGTTTGGTTCACTTAGGGTGGTTGGCTGGCTTGGCTTTGTTTTGTTTACGGTTTGGTTTGGGCAGCTGCTTTGGCTTTGGCTAGTTTACAGTTTGGTTGGTCGGCTTTGGCTGGTTTGGGGTTTACGTAGTTTGTTCTGTTTAGGGGTTGGTTTGGCTGGCTTGCCTTTGGCTTGTTTAGGGTTTGGTTTGCTTGGCTGGATTTGGCTGGATTAGCTTTGCCGTATTTACAGCTTTTACTGTTGGTTTGGCTGGCTTGGCCGCGCCTTGCTTAGGGTTTGGTTTTGGGCCTCACATCCACCTTTGTGGGGATGATTTGTGATACTTGGGTGTCCTCCCCACATCCACTTTTCTCTTCGTTTGATCTCTTTTAAGTTTCGCCTTTGGGATTCCTTTTTTCAGTGTTCGCCGCTCCCCCCACTCTCCACCAAGATCCTTTCTCGGAATTCGCTTAGAGTATTTCGGCGCGGCTTTCGGTTTTAATGTTCTCGGGTGGTACCTTCCCCTCCCTCCCACCTTGCGCCCTTCTCCTCTTTCGGGATTTGGTTTTCGGGTTTCCGCATTTGGGGCAGGGTATGGCGCGGTCCCCATTTTTGGTGACTGTCGGTAACTGTGGTCTTTTCCCGATCTCCTAGTTGTCAGTTTGACGCTCATTTTTGTTTTTTAATGCTGCCTTAAGCTATTGTACGTTCTGCGGGATTTGTTTTTCTTTCGGCCCGTGTCCACGGGCTGACCTCCGGATCACATGTTGATTTTGTGGTTCTTCATAATATACTAGTTGTATGTATGGTTTATTAGGGTTTGTCTCGACTTCAGTCTTTTTGGTTTCCAACAAACGCATGGTTGTGCAAATTCCTGATGTTTGTGGCTTACTAGCTACTTGCTTGCTTCGCTCGGATTCTGATGATAGTTGTGAGGTCTGTGGAGAAAAGAAGCTTCTTTCGAGATGTTGCCAATATGTTTGACACCTTCTTGGTTGTGGCTGGGCTCGTGGACCTCGTTGTCAGTTTGCTGGCAAGCGATGATCAAGGAGCCGCTGCTTTGGCTGGGAGTTTTCTCAGTTAACCCAGTTTGATTTGTTCTCACACGCTTCTACTGCACCCGTCACTTCAGTCAATGCCTTTGGATCATGATCCTTCCCTCCTCTGGAAAGACCAAAAGGACTTTCTGAGGTACGAGCTGTTGCTCTGGAGATTTCAATATCAATATCAATATATCAGCACATTTTTGTTGCAAAACACTTTCTAATTTCCCTTCACCTGTGAGCTGCATCCATTGTGGCAAGCACAGCAATTGACCGGTAAGCTGTATAATATATATATGTAACGTAAGTGTGTTTGGGCTTTGTTCAAAAGGCAACAATCAATAGGAGTGTTTGTCTCTTTGCTGAACTGTGTCAGGCGCGTCGAGAAGCATCGTAGTGCTGAGACTGATGCTTGTCAGATTTCAGGACATTCCAGCTAAGGTTGCAGTACATGGCTTTTGCTGGGAGACGTTTCATGACTTTTCTATTGAGGTGTTTCCTCGCCAAGATCTAAGGATGCGGGCACTTAAGTCCCTACGAGCGATTCGAATGGTCCGAAGCCTTCGGTTCTTTCAGGACTGCGACAGAGCATAGCCTAACTTTATGATATAGTAATAACAAGTGCCACGCTAGTAGTAACAGGTGCCTTACTAGTAGTAACAAGAAGCTAGTAGTAACACATTAGAATTAATTTAGAATTTAATTCATCATGGATCACATTGATCTTATTGGCAGTTTTCATCACAGTAGAGCGCAACCTTACCTGTAGATATGGCTGTTCACTGGCAGGGCCTACGGGTCTTGGTCAAGGCTTGCCAATGTTTTTTGTTTCTTGGCGTTTGAGAGCTGCATTTCTTGCGCAGCGGCCGCAGCGGCCAACTTACAGGGTGTGACGACCATGGTTGGCAGAATGCCGGCAATGTTATATTCAGGTTGGTCAGCCACATCAGACATCCGATGGAACACAAAATAGCTTCGGAAAGCGGTGTTGCTTGTTGTACCCACTAAGAAATTCCATTGGACAGATGCCACTGAAGGCACAGGATGGTGTGAGCTAGATACCCATGCAAAACTTTGATAATTGCTGCAGCCATGCCATGCATAATTTCCTGGTTTGCGTTGCTTTCGTGTGCCAAGGCCTTCACTTTGCTGGGCTATGGTTCTGCTTGGCATTTTCATGTCCATGGGCGCTCTTTTGTTGGGCAATTTGCTGCAGGATCATTGACCTGGGCATTGCAATGTGACACTGCTAGAGAGACAGACATATGTTATAGCTGTATATAAGTGAGAAGTTGCAGAGCAGACTTTTCTGCAAGCATTTGACGTTTTGGCAGAGCAAAGCAATTGGTCGTGGGCTATCCACAAAGGCCACAAGCACATGAGACAGAATCGTTCAAAAAGGCATGCAGGAAAGTAATCTTTGCATGCCCTTTTTGCCAGAAGGATGCTCCATCTACCGTAAGATGACAATAAAACAATAGCAGCAGATGGACAACCCTTCAGCAGCAGTGTCTCCCCCAGGAGTGTCGTGTTGCAGTATTTTTCTTTGCGCATCAATGTTTGTACCAGGCACAAAAAGGTAACACAACAATAACAAAGACGATAACGCAACAAGCCTGAAACGCCTTCCACAATGGCCCACACATACATGTAGTAGCTGTGTTAGTCTGGAATGAACTGTGCCATGGCGTCATATTTGTCAATTCCACACAGCACAAATACATGCAGTCCACATGTATAATACTGCGCATGTTGCAGTTACTCAAAACAAAGGAAAACGAAAAGGACAAAGGGATCACATAAAAAGTCGTACTGGAACATATAGAGGGGTTTTAGACAACCTCACATGGAACTCCACGCGTCTTCTGTCTCCTAGTTCCAAACAGTTGCCAACACTAGTTGTGGCCACTACCCGCTGCTGCAGCTGCTGCAGATATTGTTTGTTGCCAGTTGCCACTATGTTCACAGTGATTGCGCTGAGCCCCAATCACAGACGGCCAGCCAGCCTGGCTGCCCTTGTTAATTTCAACGGAGCCTAAAAGATGTTAAATGTGATGACGGGTTAGCTAGCTATTCGCACTATATGCATCTCTCAGAAAGCACAAAGCATCACTTGGTGTCTTTGAACAAGCTGCGGTCGCGCAGCGAGCTTCTAAAGCTGAAGGACTTTGTGAAGGATGAGAGCATGGACCCCCTGGATCGGGAGTGGATTTGGATGCGACACTCTTCAAAATGATATATATATATATAACAGCTATATCACATTGTACAACATTCCTACAGAGACAACGCCTACATTGCCACGTTATGTCAGAGTAGGTTATAGATGCCCATAGTGTCAGATACTACAAATGCACAATATACAGTGTGCAAGTTGCGATTTTGTGGCATGTGTGTGGGTGTGCGGGTGTGTGTGTGTGTGTGTGTCCACCCCTGGACCAAGGGTTTCGTCCAACCGATCCACCTGCCACGTGTACCACCACCGATTCACAAGCAGGGGCGTCAGGCTCGATACACCTACCTGACGCAACGAAGCTCTGGTGTATCGAGGGATGGGTGGACTGATCATCCACCTGTACCTGCTTCAACGGTTGAGCAAGCTGTTCCAATCCTCCTTTTTGATTCCATGGTGGTTCATGATACTTCCCCCAAACCCTTCCACTTTCTCACGCAGCTGAATTGTACAGAGGCTCG